TAGATTTCTCGATTAAGTCAGACGACGCACTAATTAAATCTTTGTTAGCTTTGCGAAGTAAATGTACACCAATATCTTCTGAAGAGATAGTTGTTCCATTGACATCCAATACAGCACTAATAAATTAATATTAATAACTTCGCTATTTTATTACATGAACTTACCTAGTATTCATTGGACAGATGTTTGCTGCATTAGGTTCATCATAATCGGTGGCGTTTGCTAATGGGTCGTCAGTAAATCCAGTTCGTTCTGCATTGCTATCAACGGCATTTTCTATTCTCTCTAAGGTAGCCCAGATACTTTCCGGAACATCGTCTTCAGGTAATTTTGCAATATTTACTTCATTTACTAAAATGATTTAGTATTCATTATTTTGGGAAGATTATTTCTTGAAAACTTACTAGGAATCGCTTGATACATATGATTGTGACTCTTTAACCATAAAAGAGCGTTGCGAATTTTTTGTCGACTCACACCACAAATCTTACGTAACTGAACGCGGTCTGGTGTATGCGCACCGATAAAAATAACTTTTAATGTGTCAGAAAGATCATCCACATCGAAAGGCAAGCTTGTTACAATGTTTGGCATGTTATGCATGAATGTGATCACATTACCTTTGAGTGCAGCTTGAGCAGTGGAATGATGATGAAACGGAGACTGTAATTTGATAATACAGCTATTGTGTCGATAAAGAGAAATTCTGTAAAGAAAATATTCATAAATTGATAATCTCATTGTACCAACGACAACTAATTTCTTACAGTTTTTCCTCGGCAATCGTTAGTAGTTGGAGATCGAGTGGCACATCACCAATCCACATCTTGTTTGCTAGAGAGAACATTGGAATCTTATCTTTAATCAGCGTACTATAGCATTGTTGACAGATATTGCCAGTTTTTCTAACTTCATTATATCCTCTCTTGTATAAGACTTTGTTCGATAATGAGAAGATGTTTAAATTTTGATCAACTTCTTTAAATAGAAGCTAGTATTTAAAAATATAGTTACTCGATTAAGATACTCACCTTGCGTTCCTTGTTGTATTTTTCGGATAATTTTCATGAGATCTATATGAGCAGTTAATTGGTCTAAGTTTAGAATATCCTGTAGAGCATACTCTTTCATGGTATTAGCATACGCTCGAATATTACAGACAATACATGTAGATTGTTTTAAGACTGACATGGACATACAATTCGAGAAATCTTGCAAACAGTGATTTTTCAATTGTGTTGGAATTGCTGATGGCCAAATATATTGACTGAGCAGAACTTGTTGTTCTTTTTCTAATATTTGTTGTTCACGCTGCATTTTTACAGTTTCGGTTGAATTTCTTCTAGATTGCTGTCGATCCATTGTTCTTTTCGCGTTTAACTGCTGTTGTTTGCTTCTACTTAATCTGCTTTTTGCAGATCGTTCTTGCTGGTCAGCAAGACGTTTCCGCCGATGATCTTCAGGTTCATTTTCCCGAGCAATACGTTTCGATAGTCGATCAGCAGCGAGACGTTGTTTTCGCTGATATTCACTTTGGGCAGCTCTCTCTTTCCGTTTTCGTTGAGCATCAGAAGTCTTTAAATTTGATACCGATTTTTCAACTAATGAAAACGATATCTTTTGCTTTCGAATATTTGGAGGAGGTGAAAACTCAGGACTTCGCATCAACGAAACTTGATTATTCTTCATCGTTTGCTTTTCAGGAGTCTAAACAAAAACAGTCTCGATCATATACTTTTCTAGTTGATACACTATTATGTTTTACCTGAGGGATCGCACGACTGCGCTCTTTACTTGCTGTTCGGTGCCTTTGAGATGGTTTTAAAAGCGGCACAAAATGATTTGGACTCCAAACACCACCACTACCAAGACGGTTTCTTGTTGAAAGCTCATCTTCCGTACTGGTCCAAAATATGATTAGTTTACTCTTATTTGAAGCATATGTATCTACTGGCTTGTATATTGTGTTCATGATCTTCATCTCAGCATGATAGTCAATATAGGGGTATACGCTTTGTATCTCACATCGTAATACATTGTTAAGCGCGGCAAGCTCATAGAGTTCGCAATAACTATTTTTCCCACAGGTTCTTCGAAGTGCTTCGTCTAAAGAACCAATAGTATCAGCGAATTGACTAATATAATACGTTCTATTCTTGACAAGCTCAAGTATTGTTCGTACTAAAATCAAATATTCGAGTTTGATAAATTTCTCATGCATATACTTTTGTAGTATAGATCAAGTTGATATACCTCTCAATTCAACTGCTGATACTTCAG